CAAGCTGACCTTCAGGAAGGAGCCAATCTTGAAGCAAAATACATTTTCTTTCATTCGAAATATTCACAAGACTTCCTTTGAAGATGTAACCACATTTCTTTTTGAAGGCTTTCAATGCTTCTAACCGATTCTCCTGGCGGAAATCGAACTTGGGTCGCTCGAAGTTCATGATATTACTGTAAAGAAACCTTGATTTTGATCTTGAGCTGGGGCCGCAGCTTTGGCTCCTTCTTCCGACATGTTTAACTCGAAGTTTTGCAGGGTTTTGGCGCGAAGATCTCAGGAAGTATGTTTCAGCGATCGACGATTCTACACTCACAGAGAAGATAAGATCACAAACAGTCAGATCGATAGCAGCAGAATAATCAGCGTTTGTTCACACTCCTGGTGCCATGTTTCGGTGAGAGCTCTAACAGTAACAAGACAGTAACTCAACTCAACGCCATGACAGAACGTCGCTCTCTCGAGCCCCTTCCCATGATGCCTAGTATTAGGGTTACCACCCTCTAACACCTGTGTTGGAAAGAGCCGATTTCAGATGTGTATGTGGTGAAATTTTCGCTTTATTCCAAGCTTGTGTTGGTAATTTCTACACTACACCGCCGTGGAAAGTTGTTGGAACACTTTATCTTGATAATAGTTACGTTACTTTTGAATATTTTGCTCTTTTCAGTGTTTGTGACAAGTTTGAATTGCATGCTCGATTATGTGTCGATATGTGTAAGCAGCCATGATGATTTGTCAATTCAGTGTTATTTTCGCCGTTCTCCTTGGATTCATTGCTAGTTACTTTTAGCGGTTTTATCGAATTGTTTCGGTCATCTTGTTACTTCAACCTTTCTTCTTTGTAAATTTCAGAAGTCTACCTGGGTCTACCCCTGTTAGTTTTCCCGTTACGAGGCGTTGAAAGTGTCTTGGAATGAAAAGATCGTCTCAGTCAAAAAGCACAACTACGGGGAAACGGGCTGAGAAAACATGCCGAAGTGGGCCGACGTGAAGCGAGTAACGCCAAATCCAGGAAGAGTTTGTTCCATTTTAGTCCAGAAAACATAAACAAGTTTGAATTTTGTAAAAAATTTTGGAAAAAAAACATGTTTCGTAACCCAGTGCTAAAACTGGGTCAAAACTGAAAGCGTGTCTTTAAAGTAATTTGCATGTAGTGTGCGCTTATTTATTATGTACGAAAATCTTCATGTAAACTTACTTGAGGGAATAAATTGTTATAAATCTCTACCAAAAAATAAGATTGAACACAGATATGCAATACTCGAAATTTGAATCTACAACAGTAACAACAACTGGTGTGCACAGCTGTATTTGCTGCAGGCAAAATTCTTTCTCAGGTTAAACCAAAAGTTAACGTATTATGGTCAGCTTTTTGCTAGGGTTAGCTCACCCTTATTCAACACCTGAGAATGGAGTTTAGAAACAACATATTCACATAAATTTTATCATCTAGCAACTATAGAAAAGGTACTAGCAGGTAGCAAATGTAATGGTATAGATGTCAGTGAAGTGTAAATATCCAAGAGAAAATGCTTTCATTTGGCCTTTTATTGCATTGCCATTGGTAAATTTCCAACAGCTTATGTGTATGGGTTAAAGATATGTGCTAGAAATTGAATCTTGGCCCTGGGTCTTGCTTAGTTCTATTGGTTTTACCAGTACTTGATTTCTTTATTAGGTCTTGAAAAGCTCTTGAAGTTCACCACCTTGTTTACGCCACACTTTTTGTGAAATAAAATTATTTTGGCGAAGAAAATTTGGCCCATCCTTAGTGTAAGAATCTGTAAAACTTACGGGTCCATTTACCAGTGCGCATCCCGCGTCTTGGACTCATAAATTTGCGAAAAGACGCGCAAATTTAGTCCCGTATGCGTCCCTTTGGACGCAAAAAATTACCGTTTCTCTATTCGATCACGGATGATGTCTTTTTCTCTCTATTTGCGAAAAGCTTTGCAATGTTTAGCCAAGTAAGTAGTGTGTGATCTTGCAGGGAACACAATCTAGGTTCACTGTTCATGGCCAGCGGTTACAGTAGTGTTTGTTCTTCGACTCGTCACACGTGTTTTCTGTCTTGTCCTGTTGCTTTCTTGCTTGCACGCGAGTTATTCAAATGTGCTGCATTAAAATTTAATTTTTCTTCGGTGAAATGAAGAAAAACGTTATGCGCCTAGAGGGGCAAACACAGCTCTCATTTGCGAGTCAACGTCAAGAACAAGAAGGACAAGAACCAGCAACTGTAATTGAAAAAGATGATGCGACAACGACAGCACAAGCTAAATCCAAGGAAAGAAAATTCTTCGGGCTGTGGCTGAAAAAGTATTCGTGGCTGGGTTACGAGAAAAATAGCAATTACATGTACTGCCGAGTTTGCACGGAGACTAGGAAATCTAAAGGAATGAGCAAGAAAGCCCAGTACCGAAATTTTCAAAACACCACCGGCGCTCACGCGGCATGTTGGTCTCCTGAAACACAGGGTGGCCCTCCAAGGCCCTGAGATAAGAAAGTCATTCGAGGAAGCCCGAAGGAAAGGCGAAACAAAGCAGAATAAAGCCGTATAGGTGCTTTTTAGGTGCGTACAGTGGCTGTGTCTATTGGAACTTCTTCATGATTTGGGGCTTGACGACATAGCTAATCAGAGTAAAGCTTTTTTTAAAAAAATAATATATCTATTGATAATCACATTAGATAATTACATTTACAATACTACAAAAAAGCATTTTAACAATAGACATTAACAGAGTAAAGCAAAATTAATAGTTAAATTATTACAGCTAAAAGAAATTGAAAAAAAGTACAACAGGGCAATGAAGTAATACGGAGTTAAGACAGTTAACTTAAATAAGGCGTCAGCATCCACTTTCTTTTAAAGAATACTTTGTAGCTCATTTTTAGCGATGATGTTCGCCCTAAATCCATAAATGTTTGGAAGGATTTGTTTACTCCTCCAGTCCCACAAATAGAGTTTTCCAGCAATTATAAAATTGTTCAGCAATTGAAGTAAAGGGCAAGCATTTTCCGTCAAAATTCCAAAGAGCACAATTTTTAAGGAGAGACGAATTCGTTGATTCGAAATAAGGCACCAATATATTTCAAATTTAATCCAAAACTGTTTAGAACGTGTGCAGTGCCACTGCTCGGATAGAACAAATGGCTTAATGATTCGGGTTGATTGTCACAGAAAGTTGTACATAAATCATTTGTTCTAAAACCTATTTTATACGTCTTGTGTATTTGCGTAAAGAATTGAGTTAATTGATTTGTACTGGAAGGCTTTAACATACAATTCGACAAAGATAGAGTGTGGCAGCATAAATATTTGTTTCAGATGGTCGCTGTTAAAATGAAAGTTACTCAGAGTAAAACTTGGTCCTGAGAGAGCTCACTATAATTTTGATCGTGCACTGGAATAGATTTTGAGATTGCTCCCTGTACAAAGTTATTCATAATTTCTTTTGTATGTCATAGACTGAAAGTGACTATATGCCAATAATAAAAACCTCTTTTGACATGTACGAGTTACTCATACACTATGGGTGTGGGACCGTGTGGGACTCAAACTCCTGAGTATGGGACTCACACTAACGTCCGAGGGACTCACAGGTTTTTGGCTGTGTGAGTCCCTGCCAGTTTCTGTTTCTTTACTTCAAGTGCTATTTCGGTACGTCAGATGTAACTGCAAGTCATCACAGTGACACGTGCCATTGTGCAATTAAGTGTTGTTATAGAAAGTTTATAAAATGTACCCTGCGATCAGAGGCCCTTCGATCTTTCTATCTAGGAAAATCGAAGGGCCTCTGCTCGCAGGGTATATGTTCTAATTAATTTTTTTATCTCAGTTAATTTTTATTTTTCCATCGTTTTTGGGTATGGTAATGAATGCTAATGAATTTGAAGCAAAGGAAATATAAGAATTAACTGAAATAAAAAAAATTAACTGCAACATATATAAAATGATGATATCAACCATGGCTGAAGAAGTAAAAACCTATGACTCATTGAGTGTTTTGGCCTATAAAGTGTTCATAAGGGTTTTAAAGAGTGCTGATTTAATAAATATATCTTAGATCTTGAAAACTGTAATTTGTTCTTGAATTTTGTTTGTCTGTAGTTCTACGAACCATATGCAATTAAAATTAACTGACTTTATAATGAATTATATGTACAAGGATTTTTTTCCAAAAGAAAATTAAGTCTAAATGTGGTAGACTGCGAGCAGTCTCTCTTTTTCTTCAGATTTAGTAAGGGGCCGGTGCACGCCCGCACGAGCGTTGAGCGGCGAAGCCGCGAGACGCGAGAAACGAGGGCGGCAGCCCGCTTGTCTCGCGCCTTCAGTCACGCGCGTGGTCATTTGCGTGTCTCGGGCGTTTTGCTCGACGGACCAAGGAAAAAGAGAGACTGCTCGTAGTCTAAGATGTGGGGCTTCTATTCATGAACAAGACCTTATTGAACTTAATACCATCTACCTAGTGTAAGTTAGGATTAGTGAGCTACATCTTAAAGCGAAATCCTTAAACCAATTTTATTAGACAGTTGTTCACGACAATTTAGCACGGTAACTTATTTTACAAGCCACGCAAACCCACAAAGAACTTCTACAATCGACAGGAAGCAAAAGGTTGTTTAGCAATTGCGTAAGAAAATGAGATATGGCGTATAAATGTGAACGTCACGAGAATTGGTGTTACCAAGATGACGTCAAAAACCTTATTTTATGGCTGCTGCATTGGTTTTTCTGAGCAATTTAAGCAGTGAAAATTTGGTGGTGCTACCATTCTGAATCTGAATCGAATCTGAAGCAAAACAGGCGGCGTCTACAGGAAAGATCATGCCTCCAGTCGATCTAGCGACGTTTTCAGCCGCTCCTTTACCTTGGGCCTGGGTGCCAGGCTGGATTTTAACCGTCGTGGCAGTTTCAGGAAATACGCTTGTGATTTATCTCATCGCCACCAACCGGCGTCTCCAAACACAAGTGAATCTTTTTATCATGTCCCTGCATGGCTATTGCTGATTTTTGCTTTGGTTTAACTTATTTCCCAACATTTTTCACTTGCGAATTCTACCTGCCATGTGATCAAGAACTCCGACAGATCTTCGCCGCTTACTTCGCTTTCGCTTCGTTGACGAACTTGTGCGTCATGACTGTTGACCGTTACGTTGCCATAGTGATGCCCTTTAAGTATATTCCTATCATGACGTCACGATGCATCGTTGCTATGGTGTTCCTCGGCTGGCTTTTTCCCACAGTGCTCTATTTTCTTATTGCTGTCATTCTCAAACAGCTTGCTTCTGAAGATATATTCATTACTTTTAAAATTTCAAGGTTGTTCGTGTTTTAGCTAGTGCCGTGTATATTCCTGCTTCTTACCACTATGCAAATGTTTTACATCGCGTATAAACACACCAAAATGATCGCGACCCTTGCCCTTCAGTTACAGTTTAATCATCCGATGACTATCAAGAAACGTAAACAAGGAGTAGAAATTTTCTCTGCGAAATTTATGGGGGTCGTAGTATTTGTGACCGCAATATGTTACGCCGCAGACTCTTGCTTAGATCTTCGAACATATTTGAGTACTTTCTAGAAAACTCTACGCACTGAATAAAATGATCTTTGCCTTCTGTTTATCACCAACTCAGTCGTTAACGCTCTTGTCTATCTATGTGCTGTTAAAACTTGACATCAAGAAAGAAGTCAAAAAGTTGTTTTCTTTTAGAAAGATCACGAGAAAATGAAACTTCTGTTTTACGCAGAGGCGCTTTTCAACCAGTACCGCCATTTTCTCTGGCCAAGTTTGTCTGCAGCTCCGTCAGGAATTCTCATAAACTCCATACATTAAGGCCTCTTCAATTCAGTCCTGGGTATAACTGAACTCTGTGTTTGGATTGCCATAGTCAGCAAACATCACAGCATTGAGTGAAAAAAGATGACGAGAAACTAAAACTTCTGTTACACTAAGCGACTCTTCAGATTTTTTTTATGCCACCAATCTCTGCTATCAAAGCTTCTCAGCAACACCCTTTCGAGTTCTCATAAACAGCGTTTGCCTCTCTTCTCCCTCCCCGAGTATAACTATTATTATCAACCATATTTTCGTATTGCCACGGTCAGCATATATCACATTATAAAGAGCCTATACATGTTAAAAAACGACGTTGAAAAAGAAAAATTAAAAAAAAATTCATATAAAAAGATAAGAAAGAACTTAGTAACTGTTGCCGTGCCTCAGCCGGGCCTGAAATTATTCCTGTAATACCGGCCAGTTTGCTTTCAGTTTAGTAACATGTGGTACATTCCTACAAAAAACTGTCCTATATCACGACAAAATTTTTTCCTTTATTCAAGACATTTATTACTCTAATTACAAAGAACTGATTACTATAATTGTAAACAACAGTAATAACAAAAGGAAAGAAAAGGAGGAAAGTATTACATACTTACAATTATCTACATTTCACAATTATATTGTTTACATTACAGCCAAAAACAGCGAGCAATTGCTGAAAGTGGCTTTATATTTTACAAAAAAGTTAATTAATACTGAATTATGTAGATGAAAAGAGAAATTAACTCTTATTTAGAGTACACTCTAAAATTTACTTAAGGAGAAAAAAAAAACAATACCAAAAACCAAATACATAATAAAAGATTCTTGATTTTGATTACACACGAACTTAATTCAAGAGGAGAAAGGTCTTTTGGCCATTTGTCATAAAAGGTTTCTAATATATTGTTCTCGGTGGAAATATACTTTTCAACTTGGTATTTAATTCTTACTTTAAATTGGAAACCTTCCATGTTTGGAAGTACCTTGTTCTTTCTGCTATCCCATAAAACAAAACATGCCAAAATTAACTACACGGGTTACTTTGTAGTAACAATAGGGTTGCGTTGGTGCTGGAGCAGAACACAGCCAATAAAAAGTTAAAACGGAGCTTGAGCAAAAAAGACGTTAGCTTCAAACGTTTTGAGCGCAAATTAAAACCCATCGTTATTTGCTCTAAAACTCTTCGAGAGGGCCAAAACATGAATTTTATCAACTCAGTTGATAAAAATATGTTTTAATTTCTTACTTTCAGCCTTGTACTCAGTCGTTTATCTGTTTAATTTTAAATTTGAAGCACGTCACTTGAGGAGTTGTGGGAAGGAAATTGAGAAACTATCGGTCTTACGGTTTTAGGTTCTGTCGTCCCGTTCAACGAATGTTCGCCACTTTCGTGGTCAATCTTTTCTTCCTTTAAAAACCAAAGCCCGCGCCACACATTCACACAGAGTTCAATGAAACCTTCTAAAAACTGAAAGCTTGAACCGGCAGCTATCATGTTCTTAAAAATATAGGTTAGATTTCTATTTTGTAAATATGAAATTCCTATTTTGCACGGATGAGAAGCAAAATAAAAGGCTGCTTTTATGCTGTATGATGAGTAAATTCATCCCATGTAAGGGAACCCAGGACCGTCTTGGATTCTGGACTCCACACTGTGGATTTCGGATTTCAGGTACTGAATTCCAGTATTTGTATAAAAAGAACTTGGATTCTGGGGCCTGTTTCTCGAAAGGCCCAGAAACTTTTCGGGCTCGAAGGCAAATTTTAAAGTCAAAATCTGTTGAATAGTACCACAGTTCCTAGCTCACAAACCGATCAATATTGCTTCGTTAAGTGATAGCATCCATGTATCATTTTCAGAATTATTCACACTTTAAACTGAATGCAAACACGCCTGCAGCTTTCCAGGCCCGAAAAGTTTCCAGGCCTTTCGAGAAACGGGGCCCTGGATTCCATAGTGGGATTCCAAATTCCTTGAGCTGGATTCTGGAGTCCAAAACCCGGGATTCCGGATTCCGTAAGAAAAAGTTTCCCGAATTGCGGAATCCAGATTCTCTTACATGGGCGAAGGAAACTTATGGAAAAATAGTCACTTATTGATCTCGTTAGTTACTCAGACACGTCATGTTCTCCCAAGTTTATAAAATCTTCTGAATTGTCATTTTTAACTTCTACACTTGCTGTAAAATATAATTGATGGGTGAATTTCGACGCATATTTCGTAATGGATGTTAGAAAATAAAATGACCTGGGTAGCAATTCAACATTTATTGGAAGGGTTCTAGAAAAAAGTCTCTCAGTTCCTCCACCATCCAGTTTAAATTTGTAAGTGCGATCGTAGCATACGTTTGCTACTTCCAACGCTAAAGAGGTTGATCCGTGATCCCTTCTCAGAAACAAAAGACATCCTGAGTGGAGGTATTTTACAACGGTCTCCGAACCAAACATTTTACTCGGAACCCCATCGCTGACTGATTCAGCAAGATTAGTTTGATCAATAGCGCATGCGCAAAGTCTAACGTCAACTGACTTGTCTGCGCATGTCTTAAACTTGCTATATCTGGACTGGCGAGTATAACTTGTCAACCAAACTTTGTCTTCTGGCTTTGCGTAGTTTTTCAAAGAAACTTTAAAGACTTCGTCTTCTGTAAAACCAGCTGGAGGAACCACGTGGAGATCCATTGTCGTCAAGATGTAGTCTCCTTGGAAACGTTGCAAAATATTAGTAAATGATTTCCCCACCAAGCGCTGACAGTTTCCATAGCCATACCTTTGGGATGAGGTTACAACTTCACCAGCACCTGTAAAAAACGAACGGAAACAACTCGTTAAACAGTCAATAGGGAGTTTTAGGAAAGACGTTTTTGAGCGACACACGTCAACTGGAAGTGTACTTTTTGCAAACTTCTTCCTAAATTTTTGGGTAAGTCGTCTTTATAACAACAAAGACGCTAAGCATTACGAATTTGGCAACTTCAAGATATATTAAAGGGGAAAACGCCTCACTTCCGGTTGACGTGTGTCACTCAAAATTCAAAACCGCCTTTGCTAAACTCCCTAACATTTGGAAGTAGGCACGTTCGCAGGTTACTACCGTTTTAGACCAGCTCATGGTGTCTTTTACGAACACTGAAAGTAGAGAATGTTTACAATTTGCTCGCCCCGGTGTAGAGATCGTTTTCTTTGAGCTTCAAAACAATTTGGTGATTTCTATGAGTTAAGTGAATAACCTCGGGCCGCTATCTAAACCAATAAGAGGCTGTAACGTCAATTTTTTTTCACAGCGTAACATGATGTGCCAGTCCATCACACTTTTAGTATATTTCTTTGGCCTCCTCCGCCCAACTTGGAAATGAAATTTGTCAGTTCGACGGTTCAATAACGGACGTGATTACATCACAACGAATTTTTCTTTCCCTTTTTAAACTTGAATGTACTCCCCTGTCACATGAGACAGAATAATGACGAGTTTAAAGAATGGAAATTTACTTTTTAGTGACGTTACCCTGGCCTCGTCGTGGTAGTTGCTTATTAAATAAGCACACAATTACATGTACCTCCTAAATGTTGTGTCTGTATGGCATCATTTAAGGTCCCGAGTGCAAACTCCGCTAGCCATTTGTGGTTTTTTGAGTTGTCTTCTGCCCGACTATAATCGTCGAACCCTTCACACTTGCACCTGGTCAGCGGCATCAACTGCAAATCTGCACATGTGCGGTTTGCTGGTAAAACAGAAAATATTCCTACTGCAGTGGAATTCTGGGAGCTCATTAGTTCAGGATGGTTTAAAGACACAAGTGCTCTATGTAGGTCCAGCAACGTAAATAGACGCTTTTGGTTTTCAACCAGGGCCGTCATTCGCTGATGGCCGAGCTTTTCAGCCACTTGGTCTGGAATTATCATAAACAGGAACGGATCAAAAATCTCTCTTCTCCCTTCGTCAGTATAGCTATACTGGGTATTCTTGTTGCCATGGTCGGAAAATATCACAGTAAGAGTGTCCGGACTCTGAACTATATTCACAAAGAACTTTACCAAGTTGGCATCCATGTTGATCATTCGTACCCCAGTATGCTCGTGTCCAGTGTTAAAGTGTATAAAAGACAGCATCGATTTGGCCTTTTTGTCTTTGTTCATGGCAGCGTAAACTTTCGTTATGTAATCCAGGAAATACTGACTGTAAAACTCCCCGTTTAGACAAATCTGAGGTGGAGTCTCGTAAGGGTTTGTCATGCTGTATTTTTTATATACTGTGCAGGAAAAGTGTGTCAGGCCAAAGCCGTCAATATGTTTTGTACTCACTCGATTTTGGAATTCACTCCATCTGCAACAGAATACATTTTTTCTCATAGTAGCACCTTTAACGTAGGCATTAAAAAAGACACTTTAAAACTTCGTTATAAAAGTGACGTTTTCTTCAAATCGCATTTTTTTTCGTAAACTAAAAATTCTCTAAGTAGTGTGTACTTTCAGATAACAGAAGAACATGTTTTAGGTTATGCGCACTTTGA